ATTAAATTAACAGTATTGTGTAATGCATGTGCATATTATAGAAAATATACGTTGAATATATGCTACTATCAATACGACATGCATATTTTTTTATTCCTAACACTTGACACACAGTAGTAATGTTGATATATCTAGGTATAAATAAGTCACGAAAGGGAAAACAAATGTTTTACCCGAGTTCGATACAAATAAAAATATTGGTATATAATTTAAAAGATTTAAATCTCTTATTATTATTATACAGATTATTGTATCGTATAAATATTAATTATTATTTAATATGAATATTATTTATTATTATACTATTTGTGAAAAATATACAAAATAATTGTTATATAATTTAATTATGTGCAATAATTACAATTTATATAATAGCATGTAAGTTATTAAATTTTCTTGTTTCCACGTCTTATAGTATTCGTCAACTGTGTAGTAATCGGTTATAATCACGTTCAATTTCTTTCAAATATTTTTGACATTGTTTTTCCGTTGGATAAACCACATAAACTTATTATTATGGCAAAATATCCTGTTTCTCAGGATAAAGACTTTCCTACTAATATTTGTATTATAAATTTATTTGAGAGTTAAGTTTACTTGTTGAATCTGTTATTCTTCGGATATTCAAATTAAAAAATAATAATTACTTAAAATTCTAGATACTTAATTGCAGTAAATGCTTGTGCTATATTTTACGATATAATGTTCACTGTCGCATGACGAAGATTAAACATTATGTAATTCTATTTCTCTTTTCTATATGTACATATTTTACATTTTTCCCTTAATCATTTACCTTTAATTTCTCTTTTACTATATATTTTTTATATCTTTACTACCTTATACACAGATGAATATAAATATATTCCAATGTTGTGAAGGCTCTCAAAAAGAAATTGTATGGAACGGGAAAAGTGCTAATGTGTGAGCCACAAATGAACGGAAGACGGTTCTCACAAATTTAGAAATAACTTCTCGGGAACATTTAGAGAAGAAAATGAGACCATGATAGAAGAATGATTCTTGAACCATAATTTAACGAGGTAACAGTATCATCCACCAAATCTAACGAAGCTACCAATCTATTACATTGTACTCATATCCTGTATTTTGCTATCTTTATTATAGTTATACTGAAGAAGACCCGAAACAGGGTCGAAACGTTTATATTAAAGACAGAAGTTATTTCTAAATTTGTGAGAACCGTCTTCCGTTCATTTGTGGCTCACATTGGCACTTTTCCCGTTCCATGAATATAAATATGTTTTCTTGAACTATTTGCCTTATGTGTATATAGCATATTACGTATTTCATGCGAATACACGTCAATGTTAAGTAAATTGATATTTTTTCATATGTATTTTGTATATTCTTTAAATCAAATAGCAAATGGTACATTCGATTCGCAATGTACTGTATAATCCAATACAAGACGAGAAACACACTCTACAACGTTGCTGAAGAAACTGAAACATTTTCCATTACTGAGAAATATCAGTAATAACTGCGTTTTCCCGAAAGAAAATTATTCAGACTATAACCGTTTAAGAGACATTATCCTAAATTACAGATTGAGGTAATTCAGTGGTTATTTGTTTTTACATATGTATATCATGAAATATATAGGCTTTAATGGGAAAATAACATAATTGTCGTTTCACGACTGCTCTTATCATATCGATCGTTTAAAATACAATACAAAATAGTAAGAAAAATATAAGACACAGTTGTATCATAGCTCTCGTGTGAAATGTATTCAGTCCAGGAACGTTACTTCAAGACTAATCGAATACTTCTTAAGATAGTTGGATTATGGCCCTATGACCAATCATATTTGTCACAAATACATCAAGTTCTGTTTGCTAGTATACTTTTGATATCTATTTTTCTTCAGGTATATAAAATCTAAAACTTTATAAGATTATAATAAAATTGTAATATTTCTTAAGGCCTGGCAGTATGAATAAAATAATGAAAATTCTGTAAATCCAAATAGATTTCGTAGATATTATAAAAAAATTTTGTCAAAGTTTGAGGCTGTTCAAAAAGCTTGTTACTGACAATGAGAAAATTAAATGATAAAGTTACATGCGTAGTCTTACGGAAATGGAAAAAAATTATGATATATTATTGTTAGTGAAAAATGACAAAAACTCTTTAGCTCCAAATAGATGCTGTAGATTTGATTATAAAAAAAATTTGTTGTAGTTTGAGACTGTTTAGGAAGCTCATTACTGAAAGCATTAAATAAAAAATTGCACATCTTATGAAAAATGGGAACAAATTATTATATCTCAGTGAAAAATAATAAGCAAATATGACATTTTGCAAGCAGAACGAGTAAGACTACGTAATTATCTGTATCAATTTTTAGTTTTATTAGAAGACTGTTTTTTAATTAATAATATAACCAAAATATTTCTTGATATGTACGTAATGATACATGTACGTAGAAACATTAGCAACGTTACAGCAATATTAGAGTGACGGCGTGAAATTTGTAATTCAAGTATATTTTACTAGTTTACAATTTTTGTACAAAAAAAAAATGAAATTAATAAAAGTATTGACTTTTAAGACTGATTGTACATAAACATCTAAACTTTTTAGCAGGGAAAATATACCTACCTGTACTGCCCTAATGCTCTTAAGCATAGGCATTAATAATTTTTCTTTATTTTATCACAACTTTTTTATTTGATCTAATTCAGAACAACCTTTTATTAGCACGTTCAGAATAAAATATGATTTAAATAATTTCCTTATACATATAACATAGCTTTGTCTTTTTCTTTTATTGTATTAAAAATTGTTTTACGTTCTTGGTGTTTATGCAGAAATAATTTTTAATCAATATGTACTTTAAATATTGTTTCTAGTTGCTGGTGTTTTTTAAAACGCAGTACAATACGGATCTTCTTTTAAATATTCTTGCATTAACCCTTCCTTTTCTTTTTGCCACTGCAAAATATATCTGTTTTATCATTGAGACAAATAGTGTAAGTTCAATAACACAAGCAGGGTTAATTAAATTTAGTTTTGGCATTTATAAAGTAAGGTGCATTCTGAATGTTGATAAGAAAAAATGGAACAGTTAAAGCAACTAACGGATCAAATCAGAGATGACTGGAATTCGTTAAAGGATAAATTGGAAATTGATATTATAGAAAACTGCGCTAGTGATACGAAGCTTTTCATAATAATTATAATGGGTAATACAATTTATAATTGAATATTTTATATAGAAATATACAGAAAGCTATTAATTTATATACGTTTTACACGTGAGACAAAAATATTTTTATACGATGAGAAAAAGTTGTTGATATTATTAAATATATTATATATGTAGATATTATGATAAGGGCCAAACCCATGGCCGAAATGTTGTGCCAATAAAGGGGGTTTTCCTGTTGCCAGTGGTGTCGAATTATTCACCCTTCATTTTAATATTTGCTGGCGGAGAAATATTATTCTCTTGTTTTTATTATTAAATATGTTTAATTGGCAGTAATTGTTTAATTAATTAAAGAATTAATTAATTAAGTTCAAATATAAATGTTTTTACATAATACATATGATTTTTATCGAAATATATTGCTTTTAATTAACTAATATTTTAGTGCAAGTGGTGTTAGCACAACCGCTATTTTCTCCGAATCGGCTCGAGCAACAAAATCGGGAATTCAGCAACAAATTAGCAACAAAAGAGCACTATATTTCTGTATGAGTTTTTTTTTATTGTGCTGAAGTGACTATGTCAGCTTAATAGATGTGCTTGACAGCCGCCGATTCCCGCCTAGTTAACTTAGAAAATATCTTTTAATTCAACATTTTTTCTCACTGTATACATTTTAAAACATATTTGAAATAATTTACATAATTAAGTACATCAATTCACTAGCTTAAATTTTACATACATACATACATACATACACTAGCTTAAATTTAATATTTTCCAGTGTTTTGTTATGTGGTCATATTCAGTTTCGGAATAATTCAACGTGTGCCAATAATTCTTGACACTATATTTCCATTGAATGGATCACGCCCTTATCAGTTTTTTATTTTCATTGAATACTTTGTCAGTCGAGATAAATATATTCAGTTCAAGTTGTTGCATGAGTTTTTAATCGTTTATGTATCAGTGACTACCGTGGGGAGCGTTAGTATGGCAATGACGATGTATATAATGCATTTATGTGCATTACTTAAGATCACAAGGTGATATAAAAATATGGTTGTTATTCTTTACCGACTACTTGCCTTAACCATAATATACATTAGTAGATTTATGTAGCTATCGATTAGAAAATGCCATCGAGAAAAATATATTAGCATTGCCTAGTCCCAAAAAGCAGTATATTCTTCACCAGAGGATTGTTAACGCAATTGTTATGCATCAGAGAAGTATCGAGTCAGTATATTTTTGTTCGAAAACCTACTGTAAAACATTTTGTTACAGAGTCATTTCTTATTCGTTACATTCGTTCTAAGGTTGCACAATTATGACGCACGTTTAATATTCAGTTATTTATTAATATAATATATCTTCGCGTTAAATGCAATTCCAATCACAAAATGGTCAGTAAATTAATTTTATTCATGAATTAAGTCTACATTAAATATTTGTAACTTATCCCCTTAACTCACTTAATTAGATTTAATAATGTACAATAACATCTTCGATGTTGTATTTGGTCATAAACATTATTAAACGTGTTAGAATACTTTTGTATACTTTGCGTGAAACTATAATATTCGTAATAAATGAACATATGTGTAACTTAATTCTGTCTTTAAATCGACAATTTAATAATTTCAATATTCAATCTTTCGGTAAAGGTATTTTGAATTTCTGATATCTATTTTTTTGGTGCTATTCTGTAGTCTGATCATACTTGGAATTGGTTCTATGATTTTCGATCTTTATTTTGTAAGTAACATTTTTATCTACTTTGTTTAGTTTTGTACTGTTTTTATATAACAATTTGTTACAGTTCTTTCAACTAGTGTCACTCCCAGATCATTCCAAGAACGCATTTGTTACCTTTTTGTTAATATTTGGTTTTACTATTTATTTGTTCTGCTCGAATTACTTAGGACAAGCAGTAATGAACAGTGGAATAGACTTATTCGACGCTGTGTAAGTCTTGCTTTTTTATATGCATAGATTGCAACTCGATCTCCGTAGATTTATTCTCTAAAGTCGGTTTAAATCGATGTTGCGTTTATTATACTACTCTACTGTTTTGAAACATACAGTTAATTTAATGCTAATGAATGAAATAGCCTTAATTATGTATAGTTTACAGTTAATTTTATTTTTAAATGTTGTAGTTATAATGGATTATGGTATGCAGCACCATTGTCTCAACAGAAAATGTTACTATTTGTAATGCAAAGAGGAAAAGCACACCTTACCTTTACATGTTTTGGCGTATTTGTTGCATCATTGGATGGTTTTGTTACGGTAAAATTAAACTTTCTTAACAAAGAAGAAAATCAACCTATTAACGTTTATTTAAACTATTAATGTATATGTATAATAATGTTTACTTTTCAGCTGGCGAGTACAGTAATCTCCTATTTTATGGTAATTTATACTACGCAACATCAATAAACCAGAAAGAAAAGTGATTTGTTAGTTGGACTTTATATCAAATTAACATAATTATTTAACAAATATGCTAAAAATATGTATTGAATATATTGAATATATGCTAGTTATATGCAAAGTGCATATGTTTGACTCGTTAATAAACTGTATTAATGTAAATAAATCTTTAAAGATAAAAATATATTATTCAAATTCTGCAACATAGTTGAGAAATTGTTAAGTGTATAAAGAGGAAGAGATTTAAACCATTTATTATTATCACAACATCTTATTTTTAATCGCTATAATGGATTCTGATTATCTATATTATTATACAGAGAGTTTATTATAAATTCGTCCTACATGATCTCTATATGATCTACAGGGTGCTACTGTATCTCGATAACTATTCGTCCAAGCGCAAAATAGTACAATACTTTTCTGTTTGCTTTATTGTTAGTCCCCTCTACCTTCCCATGATCGGAAGTCAATATGTTGCGTAGCACCCTGTATACTTCAAATTAAATAGCAAGTTATTGCTAGTTCTTTAACTTATCATTTGCAATGCATTGTACAAGACAAGAAAATCACCTCATGACGATACTAACGAAACTGAAACCTTTCCTATTGCTAAGAAATAGAAGTCATAACTGCGTTTGCGCAAGAAAATTACTCAGGCTGTGTAAACCATGTAAGCTATAGAAGTTTAAGAAACATTATTCTAAATTATGAATTATGGCAATTCTGCATAATTCACACCTGCCTATATCGTGCACTCTACTGCTTCAATGGTAAAATTGCATATAATTATCTTTTCCCTACTTTTCCCTCTCTTCTCATCGCATCGATCGTGTGAAATTCACAAAATATTCGAGAAAAATAATTCAATTCTTACCGTGGATTCAGTTGCATCGCAGTTCTCATGTGAAATGCATGCGATCGAAGAAAACTATTTCAAGATTAATCGAATAATTCTTAAGACGCTTGGACTATGGCCCTATCAGCAATCGTATTTTACGCAAATACAAAATGTGTTGTGTGCTAGTGTTCTTTTAACAGCTATTCTCGTTCAGGTTTACCAAATCTAAACTTTGTATTGTTATATTGAAATAGTAACATTTATTATAGGTACACACGGAAAGAAAAATGTTGCTGCCTTAGCTACAAACTGCATGTGGCAACTAAATTTCAGTATTAAAATGTAGACAGCTAATATTTAATTGTAATAATTAAATAGTTTGCTACTGTGCCTATTGTGTTAGGTGCGACAGCAAACCGTTTGCTGCAGTTTGAAAATTTATAGTTATGTAGTAAAACAGTTTTAGCAAACCATGATTAGTTACGGTAGCGGAAATTTGTTTTTCCGTGTATATTCCGGGAATTAATAATTACTTTTTTTATTTTGTCACAACTTTCTTATTTGACGCGTAATATACGACCAATTTTTATTAGCACGTTTTTAATAAACTATCTTTTGTATAAATTCCTAAAAAAATAATCTTGTTTTATCTTTCATAATATAATTAAATTTGTTTCACATACTGAATATTTCTTGGAATAGCAGTTGCAATTATAATTATCGTTGCCTTCACGCTTCAAGCTAAGCCTGTGTCGCAATTTTCAATCAATACCTTAATTGTTGATTTTAGTTGCTGGTATTTGTTACGACTCAGTACAGTACGGATCTTCTTTTCAAGATTCTTTCCTTCGTCTTTCCTGTTCTCTTTGCTATCATAAAATATTTCCTTTTTATCACTAAGACACATAGCGTAAGTCCAATAAGACAAATCGGTTATTTAAACATTTAATTGTAACATCTACAATGCCAAGTATATTCAAAATGTTGATAAGGAAAAATGAAATAGTTAAAGCAACTAATGGAGGAAATGAGAAATGACTGGAATTTGTTGAAGGATAAATTGGAAATAGATATTATAAAAAAATATGCCCGCTATACGAACATGGTGACAACAACTGTGATAGGTAACACAATTTACAATTATATATTTTATATAGAGATATACATCAAACTATTCATATTACATTAATATATTTCTACTTATGAGACAATAATTATTGTGACATATATATTTCAATGCTCATTTGAAACCATTTACATAATTGATTTCAAGTTAGATTTAACATGTCCTAGTGTTTTGTTATATTTGCATATTCACTATCACGATATTTCAACGTCTGCCATTGATTTTTGACATTATATTACCATTGAACGGATCACGACCTTATCAACTTATCCTGACCACGGAATATTTTGTCAATCAAGATAAATATATTCAGCTTATATTATTACATGAGTTTTTAGTCGGGTGTATAGGATTCACTACAGTGTGGGGCACTGGTGCGTCAATTATAGTATATTTAACGCACTTGTGTGCATTACTCGAAATCGCAAGGTAATTATAAAATGTATTTATTATTTCTCGTTGATCATTTGCTTCAATCATAATATACGTTACTAAATTGATATAGCTATCGAATAGATAATGCTATCGACAGAAATATCTTAGCAATGCCTAGTCCCAAAAAGCAGTATCTACTTCACCGGAGGATTGTAAATGCAGTTGTGATGCATCAAAGGGCTGCTGAGTTAGTATATTTTTATGGCGAAACCTTTTGTAAGGTATTTTATTTAGGAACCATTTCTTATCTGTTATATTTAATTGTAAGGTAAATCAATCGTAATTGCATTTAATAAATCGTTGCAATAAATGCAGGTGAAAAGCACAAATTTAAAATTATAATTACCCGATATCCAAGAGTTAAATCTTTATTTAGTGTTTGCATTTAATTTTGTAACTCGTTTTGATTCAACAATATAATATTTTTTTAAAACATTGAGGCCAATATTTTTAGACAGCTTTAAGTGAGATGTTTCAATATTCTGTATATTCGTGAAGAACCGTTATACTTACATCTGTTTATATTTATATTATTAATGTTTCAATATTTAACATTTCATTAAAGGTTTAACGATTTTATGACATCTGTTTTTTTGATACCATTCGCTCTTCTGATAGTAGTTGGCGTTAGTTCTTTAACTCTCAGCCTTTTTCTTGTAAGTAATATTTTTCTTTATTGTATTTTATTTTTAACTGCTCTTAAGTAATAAATTTACATATTTTAGCTCTGCCGTCTAATATTATCAAATAATATTAGTAAAGCATTGGTAATAGTTATACTCACACTTGCCCATTTAATTTATTTGTTTATCGCTAATTACTGTGGACAAGTTGTAATCAATAACGGAATAGATTTATTCAAAGCCACGTGAGTATTTTGTTTTTACCTATTGTTAGGTTGTTAAGGGGATGCTGGAGTGACTACTATACCGACCAGCCATATTGCGTTAGTAGTAGCTGCCAGATCTTACAAGAGATGGCGCTGCAATCGTTAGACGAAGACAGATATATCGAGGCCACGTTTTGACAGTGAGTACGATATAT